TGCGCCAAACAGTGCGGTCGGCGCAAAGCCCATATTAGCGCCTACAAGACTGCATGAATACTTCTCGCATCACGCGAAACGCAATGCAGTCGATCAGCTAACGTAAAACGCGTATTATCGCCTTAAATGCTGCAAGACTGCGTGTCACCATTCTTGACTTTCTGCTCCAAGTTATATTGGTCCGTCCGAATCGACCCCTTTCTGCCAAGTGCGACTCACCGTGTGCGAAATCATGCAACAGCTCTATCACACGGATTGCGCATCGCATTTCACAGCTCCTCACTCCTGTCCCAGCCTGTCCCTCTCGCGTCAGCGTCGCCCGAGCCAGGGACGAGCGCCCGAACGTCAGGGGGGAGGGGGGGTCGGCGAAGGGATGCGCTCAAGCACCCTTCAGCTCTTGACTTCTCTATCCCCACCGGGACCGCTAAGCGTAGCCAGACCAATCCTTCTAGACAAATGATCACTAAGCGTCCCCGGTAAATCTCCTGTTTTGTTTTTCCTTTACCAGCTGCATTTTTCGCTCTTACTAGGCTGCGTCTAAACAGGGTACGAGCTCGGAAATCGCTCTACAAGATTTTAAAGTAGGGTGCGACAAGTTCGCCGAAAATCAAGCGAATTCGTGAAAAGTCAGTATAGTTCGCGCAACCACGAAAAGGGTTCGTATCGCCTCGGAAGACAACTCTGAGACATGTAATCATGAAGCAATTCTCCTACCGAACTTATGTATTAGTGGTTTTCCTCCCCTCTCTTGGAGGTGGTGCCTTGCCAGTGGCTAGCACACTGAATAGTCATCCATGCGATCAGATAAGGTTCTGGAGACTGGGCTTAAGTTTTTAACGAGATCACAGATTTTCAACATAAAGATTCGGTCGATTTGACACAGGAAAAACTAACATAAAAAAGTCAATCAAAATTTTGTTTCACTTCGTGCTTGTGCTTCGTGTTTGTGCTTTTCGATCACAGAAGATCATCCTCAGAGGTATAAATACTGCAAATATAATGTTGTGGTGAAGTGCACATGTTTGTTTGATGGTTGATGGTTTGTTACTATCAATGAAGACTTCACCACAACATTTTATTTGCAATATTTATACCTCTAAGGATGATCTTCTGTGATCGAAAAGCTTCAGGCAAAATGTAACATTGGTTCATTTTTATATACAAAATGCATTTATTTGGCTTTAACTTTCTTGTTATTACTGTCCTCATTATATTAACTGCTATCTGCAACATGTTTAATAAATTTTATTCGATGAAGCTTAATATACGATAATCGAATATACGAATAAAGTAGGAGATTTAATAAAAATATAGGTAAACACGGCTAAAAAATTAAAAACACTAAAAGGCAGGACGTTTCGAGCTGTCACCAGCTCATTTTCAGCTGCGAAAACACATAAAAACAAGTAAAAAATTGAGTGGCGACCTGACCCCAGCCGTTATCACGTAACGCTNGCTGGGGTCAGGTCGCCACTCAATTTTTTACTTGTTTTTATGTGTTTTTGCAGCTGAAAATGAGCTGGTAACAGCTTGAAACGTCCTGCCTTTTAGTGTTTTCAATTTTTTAGCCTTATTTACCCATATTTTTATTAAATCTCCTTCTTTAAATTTTATTCTAGGTACAACAAATGAATGACTTTTTCCGTCACAATATTCAAGTTTAAATAATCTGCAGCAGAGCAGCGCAGACCGATCAAGTACCAACTAAGTTAAAACTTGTAGCTAAGTCTGGAGGTGCTTGAGGATGACCTTTGTCTCTGATCACCTCGACTTTTCTAGTTCCGCGGGTTCCGAGGACTCGCGGTTGGACAGATGTCGGCGGAATCCACTTAAAAGTTTGGCAACTTGCTCGGGCTTTATTGCTTATTCAAGGGCTCTTGCGCCGCCGCGCCGCGCCGCATCCCCGTTTCCAATGTATTCATGACCCTCACGATAGTATTCAACTCCAAATACATAATGTAGCGACTCGAGTGTTTTTTCTCGGTGTCTGGACCGAAGAAGTTCGACGAATACACAGGGCTCGCAAATGAACCTGCACGGAATATGAAAGGATTCAACGCTGGAAGTTTGTAATGAGTCAATTGCGATTGCAGGGTGTCTAGCATCAGGATTTTCCCGATTCCATCAGGATTCGAGGTCAATCAGGATTTAGTCCCGATTTCATTAGGATTTGAGGAAAAATCAGTCGTAAAATCAGGATTCAAGAAAAGTCGGCCGTCCGCTTATTTCCCGTTAATTATCCGTTATCCGTCCGTTTTCTCCGCAAAAAATCAGGATTTGATCAGGATTCGGAAAAATGATAAAATCAGGATTTAGCAATCAAAAATCAGGATTTCATCAGGCTTTCCGAAAATGAAAAAAAACTAGACACCAGGCTCAATTACGATTGTCGCAAAATCGTATTTTGATTATTTCAAACTATAAATAGCACAAAAAGAATTATCGGTCCGAAAACCAAGTTTCCCCTCCAATGTTAACGGAGATATTACCCTCCAAAAAACACTCCGTATGACGCCATTCCATTGTGATTTCATACGTATTTTAAGTCCAGCAGCCTCTGCAAATGTGCGAATCACTAATCGATGAATCTGAGGTGGAAGAAACCATGATTTGTGCTACCGCGGTTAATGACTTCGTATACCTCGAACGGCGAGATCTCTGTTAATATTATGGGTGTAGGATATAGGAGCTTGGATGTATTTTATTTTTGTTTGCTAATCTATACGCTTAAATCATCAAAACACGATTCTGTGACCAGCGCAACTGACCCATTAGTGGGTCATCCGACAGGGTGTGAAACTTGGACCAACAATATATGTTTAGTCTTTTATCGAAATTTTCACAGAATATGATGAACGCATGAAAATTTTCCATAGTTAATTCACACGCTAGAATACAACAGTTTTTGTCTACTTTAATTTACTCTTTCCACTCCCAACAAAATGAGAGTCTACTCGAGTCAGATCAAGCATTAAACCAATTTCGGTTCGGTAATCCAGAATTGCACGAAAGGTCTAAGAAAATATACGAGGATTGCGCGAATAGAAACCTTACCATCTGCTATAGGAATGCGCGAATTTAAAATGAAGTTAATTTAAGGCACAAGTTTGGCGGAACAGAGAACAGTCGAAAAGGAAACGCATTTTTATGTTAACGCTAGTCTAGCTTAGTTTTTTGACAAGTCATCGATGCCATACCTCCTGATGATAAATGAAGTGACAAGATTGAATAATGATCGTGGGTATAAAGAACGTTCCTAACTTTTTTCGAAACAAATACTTAATCGGGTGAAACGCGGCAACGTCGGAATGCTCATACGGCGCTGTAACACAACATGGGCCTTTCATTTAAGTTCTATTATTTGATGCCGCGATTATTTTAACGCGAGCTCCAATAATCGCGCCGAACACAGTGCGGCCGCCGTTAAAAGTATATTAGCGCCTGCAAGACTTTAGGAACACTTCACGCATTGCGCCAATCAGTGCGATTGGCGCTAGGCCCATATTAGCGCTTACAAGACTGCATGAATACTTCTCGCATTACGCCAAACGCAATGCAGTCGATCAGTTGGCGTGAAACGCGTATTATCGCCCTCAAGACTGTATGAACGCTGTAGGACTGCGTGTCATCATTCTTGACTTTCTGCTCCAATTTCGAATAAAATAAAAGGGGGAAATATGAATCCTTATTGTCACGATTCAGAAACTCTGATGATACTTAATTTTTGTATTTGGTCACATTAAAAGGATATAGAGGGAACGAAAATATCGCATCGAAATCTTCGATACTCTTATTTGGGATCCTGAAGGTAAATTCGCGAAAACTTTTCAGCAAAACCGTGGGTAGCTTTTTAAAAAATATTTTAAAAATAAAACATACAAGTGGTGCATAATATTGCCATCAAAGATAAATATACGCTTTCTTTCGGATGCACCCGTCGGGTTTTGCATTCATTCATCTCTTAAAAAACTTGAACATGGTTGTTCTACGATTTTTTACGTGTAGTTTTTTTTCAGTGGTTGGCAGCCGCTCCACAGGCCCCTAGTTCACTTTTTAAATGTCTATGAAAGCTCTCTGGGCTGTTCGTGCTGCTAGGAGGGCTATCCATCGAAGAGAGACATGCCCGTAAGTGAAGAGGGAATGAACAGTCTTTCGCGATGTAGTGATTCGCCACAAAATACCAAGGTTGTTAGATTAACGCTTCCTCGTTGAATATTGAATATTCGCTTAAACGCAATCCTACGCATCCCCAAAAATGTAAAAAGGGGGCATTCGCGTAATCCTATCGCAGCCTTTTGCTTTTACGAAAGAATTTCCCTATTCTCAAATTTTTTGAATAAAATCAAAGCTACCTGTAATTTTTTTAAAAATAATATTGAAAAGTACCAGACTAGAATCAGGTCATTTTAATAAAATCTTTTTAATGCAAATAAGGCGCTTCGTTTAAAAGCACTAACATGAAATGAACCATGCTCGATAGGATACTGCTGAGGCACATGCAGCTAAACCCAAGGTACACTGTTAATGATAATTTTTGCTTATTTATGAACGTTCAGTATATTTCTGTCGTGCCTTGAATTTTTCCGAATTTTTATAAACCCAAGGTGGATGATATCATCACTGTGTTAGTGGTAGTGCATCCAACGATTCCCTACATTACGCTTTCATTAAGAGCTGATGAATTTTAGGAAGGGCTTCTCTGTAGGTATCTTGAAAGAAAGTTGGAAGAAATTGTATTAGTGTAGTAATACTTAATACAGTAGTACAGTAATAATTACAACATCCCATGAACCAAGTCTGCAATTCCATGATATTTATTATCGTTGTTAAAAATCCTCAATTGTATATATTGTAGACCCAAATACTAAAGTCTAATTTACCTGTTGCAGTGCATTTTTGCTAACTCCAGCAGAATAAAAAAACAAGCAGCAAGTAAACCAAGTCTAAAATGAAATCATGCCCGAATTGACACTCTATTCAAACTTAAGATTTAAACTTACGTTTCTTATCCTCTCCAAAATGCGTCCTTAAATACACCAGGTTGCGTTTTTTGCACCATCCACTCACCGCACCGTTCACAGTCAAGAGTCCTAGTGTTTCCTTTCAGATGAAAATCTCTCATTTGTTTGTATTTTATTATTTTAGATTTCTTTCAAATTGTATTTCAGATAATGATGTCACCGGTGAAAGCTATAATTTTAAAAAAAAATCGCTTTTCCGACAAGCATCAAGTAAGCGTCACAACACAAAGATGAACTTTAGTTTTCACGTGTAGGTATGAACTACGCCGTACGGTTATCTCAGATGAGCTGCAAAAACTTAAGCCTTAATTGAAACTTCGGAATTCACTATATTTCACTTCATTTTAGTGTAAAGTTTCTGAGTGAACTATTATATGTTTAACACGTAGCCACACACAACGTAAATTCTAATAGTTCAGCGAACAGATACTCGTAAGGGAACTCTTAAAATTCAATATACTTATTTGAGAACAGGATAAAGCTTACATGTTTTTTCCACCTCTTCGAACCGCATCGAATTCACAAGTCAACGCACGGATCCCTATTCCCGAGTAATTGCCGCACGTAATAATTCTCCGGTAAAAAATGAGTGTCTTTAATCCTTATACCTCTTTTAATTTTAATTTTTACATTCTCGGAACAAAAACACTAACACATTAGTCTACCGGCGACGCGATGCCCTTCACACGGCTGAACGAACGCAACCCGCAAAGCAGATACGCATTCCAGTTGCGTTATAGCGGTCACACGGACGCAACCCGCAGCGCAGATACGCGTTGCGGTCACGTGGAAGCGATGCAAGCTGCCGAGCAGCGGTGCGTGGGTTTTGTGTGGCGCGGCGCGAAGGGGAGAACGGCAGCGGGCGTGGGTGCTCGGCGGGTGGCATACTCTGACTGGCGCGGCGACCGCGAAATCCCCCGGCGGTGACTTGATAGCGGTCGTGTCATGCGTATTTTGCCGGGGCGGCTTGGCGCGGCGCGACGTCCAGAGTCCCGGAGTCGGAGTTGGGATGCGCCGTGCGTCGCGCTCCCGATTCCAGCGCCTCCAGACTAATTTTCCTCCTCCGTCTAAGCCTCGGATCCCGGGTTCCCCCGTCGACGTCGAAGTCGACATCGCCGTCGTGCGCGCGGATTGATTTATCGCCCGAACAGGTCGGCGCCGGAATACGTGATCGGCCGCTCATTGAAACAAGCGGCATTCCTGGCCACTCGGAGAATCTCGGAAAAAAAAGAAAGAGACGAAGGCGAGGTTTTTGAGGGTCGGTAAAGTCGGGATTGTATCGGGGTGGTTTTTGATGGAGCCGTCGACGGTCGTCCATAAATTACGTCACGCATCGGTGTATCGGAGGGGTGTCACGGGTTGCGGAGATGGGAACCAGCACTGCGTGACGTCATCCAAAATCAGTGGTAGATGCCGGTTTTCTTGGGCAGCGGGCTCTTTAATGAAAGCGATGGACGAAGAGAAAATGGCGGGATTCTGTCGCACTGGAAGAAAAAAACACATTGGATCTCTAGAGTCCAGACTCCTGAAAACATTCACAAGAAAAAGGACTCTTGATTCAATCAGATTTAAGCTTGAATCCAGAGGAAATCCGCTCAAATTAAGAGGCTGGGTTCTTGATTTAAGCTTAAATCTGATTGAATCAAGAGTATTTTTTCTTGTCGATGTTATTAAGAGTCTGGACTCTAGATCCAATGTGTTTTTTTTCCAGTGCAGTTGAAAAGAGTGGTCATTCTATACGAAGGGGGAAAATGATAATCTGACTATCTGTGTCACACTATCAAAATACTCCATCAAAATGTCAAGGTCAAGTGCTGTGACTGGTCCAAGTCATCGAAAAAGCCAATCGCAACACCTGACCTTGATGATTGGCGCCTACAAACCTAACAGGGATACTTCACGCGTTGCGCAATGCGTGAAGTATCCCTGTTAGGTTTGTAGGCGCCAGTGCGTCGCCGCTCCGCTTTGTGTTAGGCTCTAATTTAATCTGGCGGAGTCAGCATTATTCAACTCATGATTTTGAAATGTTTGCACATCCTGTATAGATTATTCTCATTTTAATTGATGAGAAAAAATATGTATTAAAAGAAAATATAATGTGTATTTTGTAAATATTAAGGTGGTTCCGTATCAAACCTAATGATTTCCAAAGGACACAAATTTCTACACAATTTCTTATAGCCTTTCATAATCGATGGCGAAAAAGCAACAGCCAGGCGATAAAGTGTAAAGCCCGGCGATAGGAACTATAGCCTGGCTGCATAATTTTTTATCGCTTCGCATAGCCCGGCCGTATGATTTTCTCCGCATTCTACAGCCAGCTTTATGATTTTCTGTAGCCTTCTTTAGCCGGCTATAAGAATTCCTACGGTATTTTGAAACGCAGCTCTCATCGCCAATTTTTACTGGGGATCTCGTGCGTGGCTCTTATCGCTATTGGCAGAGCTTGAATTTTGCACCATTTCTTTGTGTCGAATCATGAGCGTTTCAGTGCCCTACATTTTCGAAAAGTCAGTAAATTTTCTGCATGCCCAAAATCCAGAAAACTCTAAAGTTGGAGCAATTTCGTTACGTTGAATGAGGAAAGTGTGAGGATAGTTAAGTGGAAACCGTGGTGCTTCCTTAAGGTCCTATCAAACTGCCAAATCGCTAAAATCATTATCAGATTCTGGTCCCCCGTGAAATTTCATATCACATTTCTCGCATGAGATTCCCGAGTAAATGAAGTTCCCCCACCGTCCTGCTCCCCGGGAAGGAAAATACACCCCACCAGGAAACACCTCCGCAGCATCAACTTTCTTGATTAATGCCCAATTTGCTCGTAAAGAGCGACGTTAAGGAGCCGCACTGAATGGCAATACTGGAGCTCCACCATCATTCGCTAATTACTATTTCCGTCGGCGGAGGAAGGGGTTGCGAGGGTTGCGATCGGAGGGCGTGTGGGGTGGAAGGCGGGAGATTATAAGTCCAGACTTGGATCACGATAATCGAAGGCAAGCGCAGAATGCGAGAAATTCCGAAGCGTGCATCACACAAGACTGCCGTGCTAGGGAAGAACGCCGTATGAGCCTTCAGGCGTTGCCAAATTTCCTTTGATAAATCACGAATTTCCTGGTAAACTTATGAATATTTTCCTTCCAATTTTTCAGAGAATTCTGTTTGCAATTTAATCTAAAATATCTGAAAATTTCAAGGAAAAATACGCACAACTTTCTTCAGAAGTACATGTTTTATTCGGGGAGATTTGGCAACTGTGGAATGTTCATGCGGCGTTCTTCCTTAGCACGGCAGAAGACGGAGGCGGAGCACGGAGCAAGGAACTCGAGGCTTGGGCGCGGCGCGCCTTTATAATGAATTTATGGTCCAGGTGCCCCCGTTTAATTTACTGTCCCTCTACCGGACTAACGTTTCCTCAAAAGGCTAAAGGGGGGTGCATTTTTTCTCGGCGGACCGTAACGAGGAATAGTGGCCGTTTTAGGTACGGTAAAAAAAAGCTGTAGTTTTCCTGCGTTTTCACAGCCCGAGTTAGCTTCGATCTGAAATTCTCCGTTTTCAAAAGTTTCTTTGAATTAATTTAACTCTTAATTGAAGGGATCGAATCGATCGTGTGCGCATATTTACTCTTTCGCTGCATGCTCGGTTACAATCTGAAAATTCTGAGAATCTACCATCTCATATCTCATCCTACCATAAATTGTGGCTCTTTTCCGCAATATTTGATCCGTCCCCTTCGAAAGAGTCGGCCGAAATTGTGCTCCTGCTTGGATCGGGGGTTAATGTCGTAAATATTACGAATAGTCCAGTATAAGAGAAGTGTTTTGATGGCCGAAAATTAACGTACGGCTGGATTTGGGCCTAATCGATGCTATGTAAGAAAGGTGTTTTTGGACAAAAGTCCCGATGAATCCCTTTGCGGGATTCCGCACGGTGGTCCGATGAAGTTGAAAATTGGACATAGTTTCAAAAATTCACTACGGAGCAAGAAATAGACTTGGAGAGCTCAATTTCTTCTGAAACTGTAGGTAATTAAGTCTAATTTTGAAATAAGCTATAGTTTTGAATGTCAAGACGGGCTTACGGGCCCTATATGCCTCCGTTTACTGGACTAGAAGCAGAAATTATGACATTTCGCTACTCGTGACACCCACATTTTCAACCGGAAAGGAAACGAAGGCTAAACAGACACAAAGCCAAAAATATATTGTATCAGACATTAGTATTGTGTGTCATTGAATCGCAAATTTTGAGCATCCACTAGAGAAGAAACCTCGGCAGCCAAGGACAATAAAAAGAGACCTTGGCCTCACTACTGAGGAGAGTGATTCACGAATATTTTGACACAAAAGGCCTCCTGCCGAATTTAAGTGAAAGTTTTAATGGTTTTAAATTAGCGGTTTAAAAAAGTTTTAAAGGATGATTTTTACTTTTAAAATTTTAACACGTCGTGTGCGGAGCCGAAGTTTATTGAATACATTTTAACTTTATCATAAACCATATTCCTCGAAATGTTAGCGAGTGGCTTCCGGCGGCAACTGCAATCCCGATTTTAGGATCTAACTTAAGAAAAATAGCTCTCCTAAACAACTCGGATCGGCGCACTGAGGTCCTACACAATGGAGATGTTGCATGTGTGAGGAATTTGCGATTTGACTGTTGATTCTTATGTAAAAATTCGCGAGAAACACGATGGTGCCACTGATTTTCTCTGAAATCAACTCCCAAGCTCAAAAAAAGCTCTCAAGTTGAGGCCAAAATGGAGGGGATATCCCGCGCCACCCTGAGAGTCCACCTCTACATCAAGACAAACTCCCCATGCAAAGATAGGGAGCAAATACATTAACAGGGCTGCCACTTTATTTGGGGACTCCAAAACTGAAAACACGGCAACCCTGCTAATGTATTTGCTCCCTATCTTTGCACGGAGAGTTAGTTTTGATGGAGAGGTGGACTCTCAGGATAGCGTGGGATATCCCCTCCATTTTGGCCTCAACTTGAGAGCTTTTTTTGAGCTTGGGAGTTGATATCAGGGAAAACCAGTGGCACCATCGTGTTTCTCGCGAACTTGTCCACAAGAATCAACAGTCAAATCGCAAATTCCTCACACATGCAACATCTCCATTAACGGTCACAATTTTAATATACCGTTCTAATCTCTATATTGAGACAAGTGGACCTATAAAAGTTCACTATTGTGACTCTTCGGAGCTTTCGGTGCTTGGGAAGGCCGGAGGAGGTGCCCTCTGGAAACACCTAAATGTTCTCCAAATGGAACGGGGTGAGATACGGGCCGGGGCCGGCAGCCAAGGTGAGACTCTCGGGGGTGGAGGGCTATCACGGAAGAGCATCAATAAAAGGGCGAAAATGATTTACTGAAATCATTTTATCTCGCGCTAAATTTAACGCGGCGCGCGCCAGCAAGGGTTTCCGCTCCATCTACCGTTGAAATATCACCATACGCGGCCCAGAGGTGCCATCTTTTGGCGAGCATTGTCGCAATATGTTTCCACGTGCTCGCTGATTCAAGTCAGATTGACTCTTCTAAACACTGTTTGCATGCAGGAATGCGTGTGTAATTGTTCACCGAAAAAGGACTTCCGTCAAGTCCGCACTTCTATTAAAAAATGTTGTATGCGTCTATAGTCCGCAGAATTAAAGAAAATCCGCAATATTATTAAGACGAGTATACCAAAAATCCGCTTTTTCTCACTGAGAAAAAATTATGGTTATAATTACCATATTAGTGGAACTCTTAATTGGATCGCGTTAAACAGAAAGGAACCAAGCCACATCAGCTGTTGCCTTTAACTGGGCAATTTAATTTTGTACATGAAAGCGGTTGTGTGGATTTTTGTGCGAATTTCAGTGAATTATCTAGATAGTGAGAAGCAAATTCCTCAAAATTTTTAAAGGAATCCGCACAAACGTTCTCTCGTAAAATATTAAATTGCCTACTTAAATTTGGCAATAGCTGATGTGGCTTGGTTCCTTTCTGTTAAACGCGGTCCAATTAGTAGTTGCCATGACCAATAGTAGA